CATCCCTGTCTCTGGCGGTGGCCCTCCTGGTCTCCACAGCGATGGAGGCCAGCTTGGCAGAGCGCTTCTTTATGGCGTCGAGGAGGAGACGGAAGAACCTGGAAGGACGAAACAAAGCGTGAGGAAGGTGAGGAACAATGACAGTGCTTCCTTTATGGCACAGTGAAACAGACACACACCTGGTTTCCATGTAGTGGAGGATCTGCTGCGGTGACAACAGCCTATCATCAGAGTAGCGCTCTGGAGGCAGGAAATGGAAGGTGATTTTGAACACCCGCAGCTTGTGGTGATTTTCAATTCGCAGCGTCTCAACCACACCCACCTTCTGCAGCACCTGTTCTCACACACACACACACACACACACACACACACACACACACCTGCAGTGAGTTCCTCCCGCTCATTCCTCACATGCAGCCACAGTTAATGACAGGCAGGATCAGGGAACATGTGCCAGGCAATAAAGATTAGAGGGAGTGAAAATTGGGAAGGTGAATAAGTAAGCAAGTCAGACGCGCAAGAGAAGTGATTCCTACCTCAGCTAGGCACACCCGGGCCAACTTCTTACGAAGCACTTTCACCCTCTTCAAAGCTCTCTTGTTGTTGAGCACTGGAACGCTCATCATGGGGGTTTTAATGTTGGCGCTGGCCACCATCAGGATCTCTCTCAGACTTTGAGGAGGACACACACAAAATGAGAAACTGAGGGAAGGTATAGTGGAAGGCTTTGACAGACAAAACAAAAGCCTCTGACACAGGGATGCTGCCAGCAACCCGCTGCACACGTAGTGCCACCCAACCTTAATGTGAGTATGAACTAAAAATACAGTTTGCCTGTTAAGAGGATTTTTAAGTTTTATTGTCATGAAATGCAACTGAGTGATATACTGATAAGTGTTTAATATTTCTGCTTATGCAAAGGTCTTTCTATCATGAACTCTCTGAACAGTCACATCACAACACCACAATGAGTTGTGAAAACAAGCTGTTATTGTTAGATTAAGTTCCAGAAACTGCATGTTCTCTCCCCACGAGTGAAGAGCGTGCAGCTAAGTTCCTGTTTTATCTTTGCTTTGCCATGTGACATCACTATACTGAGTGTATAAATAAAGATGCAAGAGAAGTGTGAGGTGTGTGAGTCTTGTTGGGCTCTCACCCGTGCACGTTACCAGCTGAACTGTCTGAGTGTCATTTCTTCACCTGAGTGTTTGATAACTGTTCACCCCTAACAAAACCCTTTACAGACACAGCTAACTGGAAACAACTGTAACGTGTTGGCCCACTCCTCAATTTCATTAATGAGTGTGCAATTTTGTCCGTAATTCTATTTTTTCAAGCCGCCGTATTGTTGTTCGACTGGTTCAACCAGCACCTCATGCTTCCTTCGGCCCACACTTCTTTTGAATCAACCAAGTGCAAAAGCTTATTAAAGTGTGCAAAGACTCTTTTAACGGCACTATGACACTGTTGTGCCCCCACATTTGCGATGAGGACGAGTCATTACCGAGGTATTCCCAAAGTGACGTTCATCTCTCCTCTGCCAGCAAAGTGGAAGGTGTTGAGAGTCATCTGGGTGGAGGGCTCACCTATGGACTGAGCTGCCAGCAGACCCACAGCTTCACCTGGGTCACACAGCGAACGCTGCCACTTATAATGCAGCAGCTGGCGAAGGCTGAGGACAAAAACAGAAAGTTATAGCCTGCACAAGTATCATCTGTCCCAGCTGTTTCCAGCTGTTCTAGGTACATGAGCGTAAAAACCCCTTTGTCTATATTTAGCCTCGAATTACACAAAGAAAGCTCTCAGTTTTCATTCACATGTGCTGTCATCACTTTATTTGGTGGTTCTCGTCCTTCGTTTAATTAGAAATGCACTTCTGGGATCTTTCTTTTCGATCAGGTTTTCCCAGGACTCTGTGCATCCCTCTTTAACAGGAACAGTTTTATCAGGCTTTCACATTACTGTGTAGAAATATTTGGACCACTCCTCTTGGCAACCTTACTTTCCTGGTATTTGGCATTTGTTTACACACAGCTCTTGTAAATTTCAGGCAGACTCACATGTGGACTTTGAGCGCTTACCAGCACTTTATCTTTTTTCAGCTGCTCTCGTTTAGATTTGCTGCTGTGCTCTGAATGCTGCTCTGTTGCATAACCCTATTTGGGCCAAACTGTCAGCCTAACCCTCTAAGAGCACTTTGATGTGGTTCTTTTGTAGAGAGAAGAGCCAAACAAGCCTTTTAGTATGTTTCTATCTGAACTCTCGTGAACTTTAACATGGTAACTGTCACAGTCTGGCGAGAGCAGACTGTATGTATTGTGAAGAGTGGACCCAAAATGCAGACACCAAGGAACTTGGATCAAAACTTGAGTATCAACAAAAAGCGAGCCGTTTAATGAGGCTGGCAGAAAAGGTACAAATAAAGGGCAAGGCAAACAGAAATAAAACTAACATTAACCTAAACTGGGAGAACTAAACAAACAACATGGAAAAACCTGGACATGAAACCTAGAAACATGGCATGGAGAACATGGCGTGAACAACAGACGACCTGACAATCACACACTGAAAACAGAGGACTTAAATACACAGGAGGTGATTAGGGGAAGTGGAGACACATGAGGAAACAGCTGGCACACATGAACATGATGACGTCACAGTGGGAGAGTAAAACTGAACATGATGAACACAGAACACCAGACCTCTTCACAATAAAACAGGAAACATAATGAGACATAGACATGACAACCCGAACTTGACAACGTAAGACACAGACATGAAACGCATGAAGAGCAGGGGATTTAACATGGTTGGAAACACGAGGGGAAAATAATAACCAGAAACACTTAGGCATAATAACACAAACTTGATAACAAATGACACGCAGCATGAAACACGAAGGTCGAGGGGAAACTTAAATACAGGGGAAGAAAACACAAGGAGTCTAATAACCAAATGAACTTAGATAACCTAATGAACAAAATAAACTCAAACTTAAAACGCTGGGTCAAAAGACCCAGGATCATGACAGTAACTGAAGACTGTAGAGTCTACGATGTCGCTCTTGGGGTTTTTTGCGGTTTCTATGAACATTGCATTCCTTTGCTATGATGTTTCTCTGCTTTTAGATGTGCTCACACTAGTTCATGATCATTAAATGAAGTGCTTTTGATCAGCAAAGCACAGGCATTCTCTAAAACTGTAATAGGTATTTGTCCCCATTTGAATATTCAGACACTGAATACCTGTTTGTGTCCAGTCTGTCTTGGTTCGCAGTGTCTCTGCTCTGCAGGTATTTCTCTGTGATGCCATGAAAGTTTTCAGAGATTGATCCAAAGCAGACATCAGGCCTAAACAGGCCCAGCGACGGCTCCGGGCAGCGGGAGGACTTCCTGCAGTATTTGGATCTGCTAGCTTCATCCAGAGTGTGCCACTGTTGTACAAGCTGTGAAGTGAACAGAATTCAGTACGCTGTTTATTTCGACTACATTGGAGGTCGGGAGTTCACGTTATACAATATGTGCTGAGGAAGAGCAAACGTACCTGCAGCACAGCAGGATTTCTGCCACAGTCGGCCTCTACTTCATCAGTCTGTTTTAATTTTCCCAGCTTCTTCTGGGAAAAAAGCAAAAACGCTCCTGGCAGAGATGAAAACATGGAAACACAAACATTAGTTACAGAGGCAATGCACAAATATGCATGCAACGATTCACTGGACTCTCCTGATGAAGTTGCTGCTACGACCTACAACAGTTCAAAGTGGTAATTTAGACAATTTTTTACTTTTTCATACAAAAAGAAAAGTTTTACAATCAAACTGTGTGATTGGAAAGAGTTGGGCAGACATGTCAACCATCAGCACTGGTCCAAGATTTTACACTCAGTGCATCTCGAAAATATCATTCGGGCAAATATGTGGGAAATAATTTCCCTGCAAAGACAAACATTTTTACATACCACTCCGTGGACATGCTAACTCTCTCTTTGCTTTCCAGCGCTGGATGGCAGCAAAGTGCTTAGTGGCACTTTGAGGGTCTAAACGTGCTAAAATCTCATCCAGGCCCTGCGACCTCCTGATGACCTGGCAGGAAGGAAACACACGTCTCCTTCATTCAAACTGGCATTGTACACAGGAAGTCATTTGCTCTTTGCACGTCACTGTCACTTATTGTTGCTCGCCGGCAGACATTCAAGCACCAGCTGCCTTGGTATATTTGTCACTCTGACAATTTTACTATCCTGTTATATCTAAATCACCAAAATCCGGCACACGCGTTTGTAGCCGCTTCAACTTATCGCCTCGAAAGTGAGGAAAGTGTATCTCGGGAAATTATTTTGCATAAAGAAAAGTTTAATTTAGCAAAAAAAATTCATTTCTATGTGCAAATGTATTTGAGTGTTTGCTATTATCCATATACACACACAATAATGTGTGTGTATATGGATAATATATATATGTAATATATATGTGCCACAAAACCAACCAATCACAAGTCTGTGGTTGGTTGGTTTTGTGGCACACTTATAACGGCGTACAGAAAGAGTTGAGCGTGCACGGAGGAAAGCTGCTGAGAGCGCGAGCGACACACTGAGAGCAGGTGTGCAGATGTCTGTGAGCACACAGAGCAGAGATCTGAGCGCGAGGGGCTGTTATTGCATATGTATATGGATATTAGCAAACACTGAAACAGACTTCTTGCACGCAGCAATGAATTTTGTTTGCTCAAATTAAACTTTTCTTAGCTCAAAATAATTTTCTTCTCAAAATGCAAAATTTGCACTTGCAAATATTTTTACGTGCGCTCACAAAAGAGGCACTAAAATAATAACGCCATAGTCTGGGCGCATTCAGATTAATGTGGCTTAGCTTTCTTTTTGTAGCTTCATGCTAAACTAAGCTAACAGTTAACAAATATTTATAGTTTTGTTAACAGCTGGGCTAATACAACAAATCGTCATGGAAACTGCACAGTATTATCTGAGTTGCTGAGCACTAATGTGCTTGTATGCAGTACATATTTATCCCCCACCGAGGCCCATGACCTGCTCCTTCACTGTAGCAGCCATTTTGGCCAGTACCAACCACAGAGGGGGGAGCACTGAATTTGGCTGCGATCTTCCACAGCACTATCACAGGGAGCTGTAATGTGGCTGTGAATCAACAAATGGTTTGTGTGCAAAGTTAAGGTTGCGGTTAACAAGTCGTTTACCATCAAAACCTTTTTATAACTTGTCGAGCTGTACGCAGACAGTACACAGATGATGAAACACTGAGCCAGCCATGCGTGTATCATCAGCCATGGCTGGTAAAGTTTAGCTTTGCAGCACTACCTTGATATGTGGACCGTCTCAGATTACCATTCACGTCCTCGCTGTGTTCATACCTCATAGTTGTCTTCTATGAAGGGGAACTGTCTTGGTTGCAGGAACTGAGTTTTGGGGATATCTAGTCCGTCCTCGCCGTACAGGAACTGGACCACAGAGCCATCGCTGTCTCTTACCGTCAGGTCGTACTGCACTACCAAACCCTCCAGATGTTTTATGACACATCTGCAGAGGAAATGGTTTGAAGAAGGCAGAGGGGCAGATGTGCCATATTAATGACCTTACACTGTGTTTGAAACACCTGCGTTTGATATTCTCTGCTGCTCACTTCCACACATTGCCACATGGAAGCAACATTTCCCTCTGAAATCAAATCAACTTGCTTCTCAATCTCATATCAAAACAGGGTTTCTGGTTACAAATCATCTCTGTTTGTGTTCACTCCAAAACGAAGACTAATGCTTTATCCGACCACGCTGGCATGCAAAGAGATTTACAAAGCTCAAAGCAGTGCACATATGAATGCTGTTCAGAAATCCTGTGAACTCAGATTTGAATAATGTTTCATTTGCACAGCACTCATTGCCAGCCAAAACAACAGTGAGTAAAATTCGTATAATATTTGCATTTCTTGCCCCAGACAGACACAGGGAGCATTTCTGTGTTTTTTGGGGCTTGTGTTAGTAAAACTTTTGTTACCTTTGCAGATATCCTGATCTGGATGTTTTCACGGCCGTGTCGACCAGTCCTTCTCTGCCAGCCATGCAGTGGAAGAAAAACTCCTGAGGATGAAAGAAATGCATCATAAAGGAAGAAAGTATTCAAATCCTGTGCTGTGCCACTCCAGACTCTGATCAGGTGCCTCATATTTGCCTTTATTATCTTTCAACTGTGCCCAACAGAAGCAGAGTTTACTTTAAAAAAACCATCAGCAGCAAACCTGAACTCTAAGGAGCTGCTCTTAGCAGCGAGGTTTAGCTCTCTCTATAGAGCATAAAATGAGAACAACCGCATTGGGATCCTTTACAGGAAGTGGTCTCGGTGGGTTGAACTCCAGTGGTTCTTTTATGGTATGAGTGTGAGCCACCCTCAATGCATAGGGTCTCTCACAGCACGCCATCACGGCTGAGGTAAGTAATTTCTTAAATGATCCTGAGGGTTATGGAACAAAAACCTCAAGTGGAAGACCCCAAAAAAATTCACCAGCACTGAGCCGGAGGATCCAATTGGCTGTCCATCAAGACACTGGACGATCCTCCAGTGTCTTGATGGTCCAGTCGGCCGTTACTGGTGCCGACTGCAGCCCTATAACCATCAGATGGCATCTGAGACTGAAGGGCTTCAAAAACAAATGTCTTCAAAGGCCTCGTCTCCTTGGACGCCACAGAATCAACCGTTTGGACCAAACATGCAACACTGAAAGGTGGCAGAGAGTTTTCTTCTCTTATGTGACCCTTGTCTGTGTGGTAACGCCTGTGTTTTTCAACAGGACAACGCTACAGTACACAATGTTCTTTCAGGAGAGTAACATCACTCTTTTGGACCATCCTGCGTGTTCTAAATCCAACTGAGAACCTTTGGGGATGGATGGCAAGTTTACAGAAACGGACGACAGTTCCAGACAGCAGACGCCCTTCGTGCGGCCGTCTTCACCACTTGGAGAAACTTCGCTCACCTCATGGAAACGCTTACATCAAGCATGCCGCAACGAATTTTTGAAGTGATCAATAATAACAATGAAGCTCCTCATCACTGAGTTCATGTCTCAACTTTTGATTTCTGTTTTGGGGGGTGTACGAAAATGAAAATATGATTTTTTGCCATTTTTCAAGCCGTCTTAAACGTTTGAGTGTGGATGTATCTAAATCTACAAGACAGCTAAATGTTCAAAATATCAAAGTCTACCTCCTTAAGTAACGTTATAAAAAAAAAACTTAACCTGGCCGCACAAAAGGAGCTATCATGTAAAAGTGACTTTTAAACGTTACCTGTGGTTTGATGCCTGTGAGGAATCTTCCAGAAACAAAGCCTCCAGCACCGGGCGCAGGGTCGTAGGGCTGGAAGCACGGCAAGAATTTCCCAGAGGGCATCAGTGGAGGCCTACGGCCCTCCAACTCAATCTGACCAAGCAGACAGGAAATCTGAAACACACACCAACACACAGGTCAGGACATCTGTAGCTTAACACACCTGGCTATCAAATCAAAAGGAAAGCCAAGGTGAATGTGAGAGCGAGGGGGAGGGCCGTACCTGCATGGTGTTCACTGTAGACCCCTTGGCTCCTGATTGGACCATCAGCTGGAGGTTGTTGTCTGGGAAAGAGGTGTGTAGTCCAACTGGCATACATACCTAACCAGCATACAAAACAACGTGCACACTGCATTAAACCAAACACGGAGTGAAACCTGTCTGAGGGTGTCTGAGTTATAGAAAGGAACGATCTAATGCTTTAGAAGATGCAATTAAAATGGATAAATCTATAATGTTGTTAAAAACAGTCTCAATAACCAATCATGACAACACTAGAGCCCAACAATAAATCAACTGATCTGATATACAGGATGAGATTAGACGTTTTCTGACATACATTTTTACACATTCAGAAACAAATCAAATGAGTTTCTTTAGACGCCTCCTCTGCAACGACGCAGACATGTGACTGGACCATTAAACCTTCTATTCTTAAAGCAAATAAAGGAGGAACAATGTGGCTCTGAAACAGCAGTGACAGGTTACCTTGTTGATATCATTGTTGACTTGGTTTGCCACTTCTTTGAACTTGTGGTCGGCCGTGATGAAGTCTCTCTGGTCTGGGTTGAGGTGAGCATCCTGCCAGCGACTCTGAGCCTCGGCTTGGTCCACATTGGAGGGCAGATTAAAAGCAGCCTGGAGCGCCTGAATGACAAAAAGAAAAAAGGAAAAACAAAAATAATAAAGCACCGAATCTTTAAAGCCACCATGTGGACAATCTGAAAATATGTAGACTTTGCTGCCCCCTATTGGAAATCACCTAATGCAGCAACCACTTGCAGATGATTATCACCATAATGTGAGTGAAGCAGATACAGGGTTCATAGGCCTTTTTCAGGGTCAAATTCAAGCACTTTTTAAGCACTTTCAAGGTCCCTTTTCAAGCTTTTCCAGCACATGCCCCCCCCGAAAAAAAAGAATGCATGTTTCAATTCGCATCACTTCAGTAAGACCATGTGAAAATTAAAACAAACCATCCTCGGTGAACTTAAACACCTTCGTTCACCTTTTGTTGAGAAATAGAAAAACGAACCACACAAAAATACCGGTACTGCAAAAGGAAACGGTCGCCTTATATACATCATGTATAAACTCAAAATGCACATTTCACTTGAAAATTAAGATGTGACAATGTGAACAAATCAACTTGTTAGAGATATTCTTCTCCTGTTGACAAACTGTATCAGCACAATTTATCTAAATTCAGACAAAATTTAAAATATGAGTAGAAAGTGATATTTTTGACTGTAAAAACCAAAAACATGTTTAGCGAATCATTTTGATAACTTGAAATGCAAACAGAAATTTTTGCAAACAACAAAGTTATTTGGTATTATTTACCTAAAAATACAGCCAAGGCTCAGACGTTTTTTATATAACCATTTAAAATTATTTACAGAACAATCAGCTGTTCTGCATCAAATAAGAAGGCACAAAAACTATTTATACAACTCCTAAAATAGTAGGGGTGGGGAAAAAAATCGATATTGTGTAGTATCGTGATATTTTCTTTGCTAATAATGTATCGATACAGGGACAGCAGAAATCGATATTTTGTTACAAAAAAAGTTTTTGTGGACTGGAACTCTGACTTCAGAGCATGTTGATCCTTTTTCTGAGCAAGAATCCTGACGTTCCTTCACTGTCCAAATGTGTTTTTTTTGGCAGCAATAAACATGACAGTTTACTTATTTTAATTTAAGACATGTTTTATTTTAATTAAGTTTAAAACTTTTTTATTTAATGTAAAATTATATTTTGTTTTAATTTACTTTCAAATTCTTCAGTTGCTGAAGGGGCTGCATAGTTTTCATATTGCATAGTTCAGAATAGCTATAATTGTACCAGATGGTTGCATTCAGTTAAGTTGGACTAGACTGTGGCACAAACCGTTCAGTTTGTCAACAATAAAACTGACTGAAATGAGAGAAAGACTGAGTGCGAGACTTTGATATTAGATAAAATGAATATTGATAAAGTTTACCTTTATGTACAGAATCTGAATATCGCAAAATATTTTTAAAAAATTGCAATAATATCGTATCGTGCGTTAAGTATTGTGATAATATCGTATCGTGGGATGTTTGGTGATTCCCACCTCTAAAAAATAGTTTGTGTCACTATAACACAGATGAGAACAGCACAGGGATAAACATGCAGGTCTGACAGCAGCTGTGTCACTCAGCGTTTACGCTGCAATCTGCCTTTGGTGGCTTTAAGGCAGCAACTGTGACGTTCACTAGTAGAACTGACACACAAAACAAAACAACGACTACACCACACACTAACTACACAAGACAACACACTAACTTGAGACTCCAAACACGATAAACGTCACTAATCTCTCATGTATCAAAACTGTCTCTCTCTCTTTCGCTCACTCCTAAAGCTTCCCTCTCTTCCCAAACAACCAGATGCCACATGTTGCCATATCATTTTTTTGATTGGTCGACATGGTACATTTTTCCACCAACAGGGAAGGAGTGATTTTTTTCTTTTTTCACCAATGACTGTTGTTTTTCACTCACAAGCAAAGCGT